GTAGTTTCTTAAGTCTGTATGCCATAATCAGCAATATTAAAAATAATAAAAGGACTTGCAATATTTCAGTTGATTTGTAATGAATCCAGAATGTATGACATTTTTGTTTTTTTAATTGCATTACAGAAAATAAAGAACTTTATCACAATATTCTAATTTTCTGAGACAGTCCTGTATACACTGTCAATATATAAACATGTTTTTTGTCTCCGTAGGTATTGAGTCCAACCTACAAGCAGCGCAATGAGGACTTCAGGAAGCTCTTCAAGCAGCTGCCGGACACTGAACGCCTCATCGTGGGTGAGTCTGAAGCAGGCATCAAACTGCGTCAGGGTCGCTATAATGAATAGAAGTTCAACAATATCACATTATCAATACATTATCAAAAGAAGAAATCGACAAATATATATATATATATATATATATATATATATAGTTTGAAGATAAAATAGTTTTAAGGGAATTTTACTGTTTTGCCACTTCTCTAAAAAGATAAATCTACCCAAAATGAATCTAAACGACTTGTTTTACACAGACCTACTGCATTCAATACCTGGCTTTACTTTAAAGTGTGTAAGTTGCTGTGTTTTATTGCTATGCATTGAACATAATATGGAGTATTCATGAAACTATGTCACCACGTCAGGGTTTTTATCTACTTAAAGGTGGGGTAGGTAAGTTTGAGAAACCGGCTTGAGATACACTTTTTGTTATATTCCATGGAATGCTCTTAACATCCCGATAGCAATGAATATCTTAAGTGCTTTGACAAAAAATCCATAAAAAAATGTCATCTGTGGAAGCCGTAGTACTGTAAAAAGCACGAACAATCATCTGAGCCGGCCCGGCTAAAATAACTGGATGGCCTACCTGCCTGTCAGCCTTCCATCTGTGCACAAACTTATCTCGTGCCCTCATTGGTCATGTGCGCGTTCCTGTGTGTTGGAGGAGGGGCTCTGTAAGGAAGTGGCAGATTTTTTCCGGCTGTGTATTTTCAAATTCTAGCGCACTCAAGCTGGTTTCTCCAAAATTACCTACCTCACCTTTAAGGGTCCTTTGAGGAAAAATGTTGGAAACTTGTGGTCTATCAAATAATGTTATCACGTCCCATAGGCAATAGCAATTGAGAGAAACTAAGCAAAGGGGGGGTGGGTGAGGGAGCATATTTCTACAAACTTTGTTTGAGAGGCTTACAGTCTTTGAAAGTGCTCGTCTGCACTGCACTGATATGCATACATACACTAAAATGTACTTCAATAGCAAAGATGACAACTATTGAAAAAGTGTTGCTCCCATGGCCTCAACTGCTGACATCCTGCCTTCATCCTTTCCACATGACCTCTTAGTCAATAACATTATCCTTTGCTTTTCAATGCTATGGACTCGTGATGGCGCTCCCATGCTCCCTGAGCTCCCAGCTCAATGGTAGAGGTCTGTTTTAAAACACAGTTGTCTTTCGTTGACCTTTGACCTTTAACTCCTTCCAGATTACTCATGTGCCCTGCAGCGAGACATCCTCCTGCAGGGACGCCTCTACCTCTCAGAGAACTGGATTTGTTTCTACAGCAACATCTTCCGATGGGAAACTCTGGTGAGGACACGCCTCTCACTTTTCATATCGAGCTCGTATGGGGCCGTACAATAGTGTAAAGACTGGTTTGGAAAATATTGGTATTGACTTTGTTTTGGCCATCAACACGAAAACAAATCCTAGATAATTTGTTTCACAAAAATATCACAATTTCAACATAAGCAAGCAGCACTTTTCCTCTTTCCATTTGTTACTGTATATAATTAAGGCTGAGTCTTAAAATATATATTATTGCTTTGGAGGAGACACACATGTTGGTATAAAAATGATTCAACACAGAGACACATGATTAGAGCTTAGAAAAGTGACTTTTTCTCTCTTTGGTAAGAGGTATTAACCTATACATGATATCTGCTCTTTCCTCTCAAGCTGATGGTGCGACTGAAGGACATCTGCTCCATGACCAAGGAGAAGACGGCCCGCCTCATCCCCAACGCCATCCAGCTCTGCACCGACAACGACAAGGTACTTCCTCATCCATACCTTTATTATTCACTACTGTACAATCTCAGAAAATTCATTTTATATGTAAGAGGCATTCTTACCAATAAAGAATAGGCATTAGCATTAAAAAGAAGATTCAGCCTTTTGTCAGACAGGTTTTCAGTGTTCCAAATAATACAAATGATAAAAAAACGACTTCTTAAAAATACTTTTCCATGAATTCATCCATCTGTAATCTCACTGTTCACTGTACTCTTCTTTCAGCACTTTTTCAGCTCTTTCGGGGCGAGGGACCGGACGTACATGATGATGTTCAGACTGTGGCAGAACGCTCTCCTGGAGAAGGTGAGACCACCCACACTGTCATTGTTCAGGGGGGCGTGCTGCTAATGTTTATCACTTAACGGTGGGGTAGGTAAGAATGGAGAAACCAGCTCGAGTGCGCTAGAATTTGAAAATACGCAGCCGAAAAAAATCTGCCT